TCTCTCTCTTTTTTTTTTCTTAAAATGACCAGTAAGGGGATCTTAACCCTTGACTTGGTGTTGTCAGCACCACACCCTCCCGAGTGAGCCCCAGGCCGGCTCCTGGGTTGTGGTTCTCTTATGTGCCCTGGATCCCAGGGCTTTGTCAGACACTCAGCAAATACTTTCTTCCAGTCTGTGGCTTGCCTGTTTGGGCTCTTAACGATATCTCCTGATGAGCAGATGTTTTAAACTTTGATGATGTCTAATGGATCAGTTTTCTCTTTTATGGCAACTTTGGTGCTTTGTTGAAGAAACCCTCCACTGACCCCATGCCTTGTGTGTGGACTGCATGCTTGAATCAGGGGGAGCCATGGTCCTTGGAGTTGACCCTGCTTGGAGGTGAGAGCGACAGAAGGCATCTGAGTCTTGATTTACAGACTCCCAAAGGAGCTCCAGTGCTCTGTGGTCCCAGAGCCTCCTGAAGGCCCACTTCAACAGTTCCAGCTGTGCGTGCAAAAGGCAGGGGTCTGCAAGGCTTGACAGAGAACAACCCCCAGGGGGCTGGGAGCCAAAGGAAGATTCCAGGGCCACACAGGCTGGCAGGCACTGAAGCCCCAACCATCTGGAGTGTGGAGGCCTCCCTGAACTCCCAGGCATTCCACTGGGTCCTCAGGAAGTCCACACCTTAGGAAAAGGGTTCCCCTTACCCCGGAGCAAGGCTCCCTTCATGCCTCCCTCACAAAACTAAAAGCCGCCCTGTGGCAGAATCAAGGGGAGCCTCCAGAACAACACACAACACTCCAGTCTGGAAGACAACACAATCCACACTTTTAACACATAGTACCCACAATGTCCAATACACAAAAAAACCTCCCTAGACATACAAGGAAGGATGGAAATATGACCCATAATAAGAGAAAAAGTCAAAGGCATCACAGGCATTGACATTTAAAACTGGGCTATGGCTTGAATGTGTCTCCCAAAGTTCATGTGTTGGAAACTTAAGCCCCCATTTGGCAGTGTTAGAAGCTGGGGTGTAGTGGCAGGGGTCTGGGTCATGGGGGTTCTGCCCTCATGAATGGATTAATGCTGTTATCATGGGAATGGGTTCCTTATTAAAGGATGAGTTTGGCCCTCTCCTGCTCTCTCCTGACCTCCCGTCTTCCACCACAGGATGACACAGTGAGAAGGCCCTCGCCAGATGCTGGCACCCAACCTTGGACTTCCCAGCCTCCAGAATCATGAGCAATTACCTAGTCTGTGGTATTCTGCTACAGCAGAACAAAGCAGACTAAGACAAACGAATACATTCAAGGATTTACAGGAAAAGATAGCCAAAATGGATGAGCAGATGGGAACTCTCCACAGAGAAATGGGAAGTCGAATGGAACTGGAAAATGCCATCTATGAAATGAGAAACTCACGGGATGGGCCTAACAGATTAGACACTGCAGAAAAAAAGATGACCTTACAATGGTCAACTGAAACTATCCAGACTGAAGCAGAGAGAAAAGGCTGAAAGAAAATGCAGAGAGC